TACATGAACACCTAAAATTACTAGTTTTTCCTTGTAGTACTTACAGGTGAACAGATTAGAAACTTGATCAAATTCTCTTATCATCACAGTGCTGGAGATGTCTTAATGTTTTCTATCACATCTTCTAATTCCATTAGAGTAATTAAAGAGTAATTATGTTGCCCTCAGAGTCTCTTCTTAATGATGATGCCACATTAGAAGACCATTTAAAAAAAAGATTTAAATGGTTTAATTTTTGTTATTAAAAAATTTGTACCAAATGAGTGAACCAGAGGGAGACGTGATAAAAATGGCAAACGAAATAAGGAGATAGACTTAGATGAAAGAGACCTCAACTGATGGCCAAGACTGTGGTTGGGATTTTGGTCTCATAAAAAGATTTAGTTTTGTATAAAGAAATAAACATTAAACTTGGTTTTTATAAAATTAATTTCCTTTCTGTTTTTTTTTTCCTTTTTGTCTATGTAAAAGAGAAAAATGGAGAGGCTCAATAGAGAGGTAAGACAATAGGAAGGGGATGGGGTCAGGAAAGGAAGAATTCTCCTAAATGCATTTAAAATATTCCATTAATTTTATATCAGATCTATATTGTAGTGTATGTTTTACGTTATATGAGGGTCTTCATAAAGCTCCTTGAAAATGTGTATTATGAAAAAAATATGCACGCATTTCAGTTTTTTTATGCTAAAATAAACTCATGCTAACTTATTATAACATGTCTGAACAGGATCTAATTTGAGGCACCAAGGATAAAACATCAGTTTGACCAACTCATCTTTGACAAAGCCATCAATAACAAACATTAGGGAAAGGAAACCATATTTACCAAATGGTGCTGGGAAAATGGCTAACCGCATGCAGAAGAATGAAACTGGACCCCTGCCTACCACCATATACAAAAATCAACTCAAAATGGATCAGGGAATTAACTGAAAAACCTCAAACCATAAGCATTGTAGGAGAAAATCTGGGGAACACTCTTTTGGAAATCAGAGTAGGCAATGAATTCAAGACTAAGTCCTCAAAAGCAATTGCAACAAAGGCTAAGATAGATAGATAGGACTTTATCAAACTAAAAAGTTTTTGCATGGCAAAATAAACCATCAAAACAGTAAAGTGATAACCCATGGAATGGAAAAAAAAATTTGCAAATTATGCATCAGACAAAGACCTAACTTACTTCCAGGATCTACAAGGAATTCAAATTTATTGGAAGGAAAAATAAACAAAAAACAACCCCCAAAAAAGTGGGTAAAGGACATAAACAGACACTTCTCAAAGGAAGACATACAATAAGTCAATAAAAACATGAAAAAAAAGCCTAGTCTTACTAATCATCAGAGAAGTGCAAATTAAACTACAATGAGATACCACGTAATGCCAGTAATATGACTATCATTAATGAGGAAAAAAACAACAGGTGCTGGCATGACTGTGGAGAAAAAGAAATATTTCTGCATTACTTCTGGGAATGTAAAGTAGTCCAACCTCTATGGAAAGCGGTGTGATGATTCCTCAGAGAATTACAAATTGAGCTTCCATACGATCCAGCAACCTCTCTCCTGGGAGTATACTCAGAGGAACATACATCACTCTACAAAAAAGACATCCACACATGCATGTTTATTGCAGCACCATTCCCAATAGTAAAATCATGGAACCAACCCAGATACCCATTGAAAGTGAACTGGATACAAAAATATGGTACATATACATGTGGAATATTATGCAGCCACAAAAAAGAACAAAATCATGGCCTTCACAGCAACTTAGATGGAGCTAGAGACTACCATCATACCTTGCTTCTGTTTTGCAGAAACAAAGAATTGAATACCGCATGTTCTCACTCATAAGTGGGCCCTGGACACTAGTTACACTAGCACAGGGATGAGACTGGCAGATACTAGACACTGCTAGGGGAGGGAGGGAAGAAAAGGGGGGGATACAGCAACAAAACACTGGACACCTGGCCCACTACCGAGGGAGACAGGACTAGTTAAAAGCCCAAACTTCACTTGCATGCAACCTACTTATGTAGTAAATCCTCACTTGTATCCTACAACTCCAAAAGACAGCCCCCCGCAAAACAACAACAACAAAAATTTTGAAAAGAGCCCCATCAGAGCAACATGTGTTCTTCTAAAATTGAAGAAATAACAACCATCAAATTTATAGTGAAGCTTTGGTGGAAGAATAATGAGGCCATTTATACTTATTGAAAAACTCATGGGAACAATGATCCCCCATAATCAGCATTCTAAAAGTGGATAACCTTACTTATATGATGACCACTTATATACTAATCCTGGATTGTACCACACATCTTTAAAATAAAAAAATAAAAATGGATAACTTGTTTTAAGAAGAAATGAGACAATGTTGAAGATAAAACCTACAGCAGCAGTCTATCTTCATAAATTTGGGAGGAACAAATTAATTTTATGCATGCTCTTATTGAAGAGGACTGATGATTAACAGCAGAAATAATAACACCATAGACATCTGAATTGGTTCAGCTTGCACAATTCTGACTGAAAAATTTAAATTGAGCAAACTTTCCACCGTATGGGTGTCAAAACTGTTGTGCACAAATCAGCGCCAGACAAGTGCAGAGCTTTCAGTAGAAATTTCAATCAAGTGGATGAAAATCTTGTAGCATTATTTTGAAGAATTTTAACAGAAAATTAAACATGACTTTACCAATATGATCTGGAAGACAAAGCACAATCAAAGCAATGGCTACCAGAAGTGGAAGTGGTCCAAAGTATAGTGGACCAGTCAAGTGCAAAGATTTTATGACAATAGTTTTTGGGGGATGCTCAGGCATTTTGCTTGTTGATTTTCTGGAGGGCCAAAGAACAATAATGTCATATTAAAAGACAGTTTTGAGAAAGGTAGTCAAAGTGTTGGCAGAAAAAATCCCAGAAGATCTTCACCAGGAGTCTTTCTCTTTCATGACAATGCTCCTGCTTATTCCTTTCATCAGACAAGGGCAATTGTATGAGAGTTTTGTGGGAAATCTTTAGGCATCTCCCTTACAGTCTTGATTTGGCTTCTTCTGACTTCTTTTTTCTTTCCTAATCTTAAAAAATTTTTTTAAAGAGTACCCATTTGTCTTCAGTTAATGATGCAATAAAGACTGCATTGACATGGTTAAATTTCCAGGATCATTAGTTTTTTAGGGAGGGAGTAAATGACTGGTCTCATCATTTGCAAAAGTATCTTGAACTTGACGAAGCTTATATTGAGAGATAAAGTTTATAGTTTTTATTTGTATATTTCATAGTTTTTATTTGTAATTTTTCTGTGAACTTTTAAAAGTCCCCTTATATTTTATAATTTGTGAACATTACAAACATTACATCAGTGGTTTCCAGCCTTTTGGGCATCAGGTACTGGTTTTCCAACCTTTTTGGCATCAGGGACAATTTTTCCATGGATGTTGGGGGTGGGGTTTTGAAATGTTACAAACATATAATATATATTGTGCACTTTACTTCTATTATTATTGCATTGTAATATATAATGAAATAATTATACAACTACCATTAAAAAAAAAGCACGAATGGAAGTAGCATAAAATAATGGGTGGGTTGCCATTGATCTGGCAGGAGGCAGAGCTTGCCTGCTGCTCAGCTCCTGCTATGTGGCCTGGTTCCTAACAGGCCGTGGATTGCTACAAGTCTGTGACCTGGGGGTAGGGATACCTGCATTTTACAATACTATTTTTTCTTTTTTCCCAATTATTTAATTTTTTTCTGTAATTATTTTATCTCCCTAGCTTGGTTCTATAAATATGGCTTTTGAAGTTATATCCTGTCTACTTCTGATCTCCAAATATTCATTATACTATACTGTAACACAGTGATCAATGTAAGATTTTTTATGCATACTTTTAATTTACATGCTTACATACCTCTCTATATATAATATACATATAAATCTTATATATAAGATTGTGCACTATTGTAGGTGTAATAATGACTTCAGTGTGTGTGCATAGATGCACACTCAGAGTCTCATGTTCTGATGATCATTATATGACTTCCTTTTATGCTAAGGTTCTTCAGAGAGGTTTTATTCTGTACTACTCTTTCTTCAATTATCACATTATGCCTAACCTTGGAAAGGCTTCCTCTCTTGATGTATTTGAATAAAGACCTTTAGAGCAGCATACCCTGCATTCTCTCATCAGAGGCTATAGATTATCTTAACTTCTATTACCTAAAGACTTACATCTAATGGAAAATTTAGGAATACCACATCAGATTCCAATAGCTGGGAATAGTTGCAAGTTATAATAAATCAACAAGAAGATGGAGTTTTATTTTTTAAATGAATAATTAAAATTCAGGCTTTCCTTTGATATGTTAGTATTAACATTAATCTGAGTCTATGATTTACAGTGAGGCATAATGAAAATAATATTGAATAGGGTATTACAAGAGCTGAACACTTGCCTGAATTTCACTTTTTATTTGCTCTATGACCTTGGGGAAGACGGCCTCTCAGTCTTCTCTCTCCATCAGCTAAAATTTGTGGTTATTATACCTTGCTGCCCACTTCCTCATGGTTTTATCAGGATGAGATGATTTATGTGAAAATATTATGTAAACAATGCAATCTATAAAAGTTACTATTATAAACAGCAGTGAATGTGCCAGTAATTGTATTAATAACAAGTGTTTTACGAAACAGGCCGCATTAGTATTCTATTTTTATTGGTCAGAGAGGCTAAGACTCCCTGGTGAGTGGGAAAGGCAAGATGTGAAACCAGGTCTATCTTACATTAGAACCGATACTCATAATTGCAACACTTTCAACACTCATCTAAATAATAATAGGTGCATAGCATTTTGTGTGAACAAGTGAAGTCAGTAAGAACACAGTTCTCTTTATTATCACATCTGAATTCTACATGTGAAGACAAAAATATTTGTTTTTCATAAAAATGGAATGCCATGGAATTCTAACCATCCAAATGTGTGTTCTTCTCTTAGAATTTAATTGTCCTGAATCCACTCACAGTGACTGAGGAGGAAATAAGACCATCACTAGAGAAACGCCTTGAAGCCATTATCAGTGGGGCTGCTCTGTTGGCTGACTCCTCATGCACGAGGGACTTCCACCGGGAGCGAATTATTGCAGAATGCAATGCTATTCGCCAGGCTCTTCAGGACCTGCTTTCAGAGTACATGAATAATGTAGGTGATTGGTTTGCTCTCCCATTCCTATTCCCTCTCCCCTTGTATTTTGAGCATATGCTGAGATACCTTTCTGTGTACAAAATGTGATGTTACAAATGGGTATGTAATGTTACATGGAGTGGCTTTCTGAGTGGGTTCTACTTGTTTGTCCACAGGTCTCAGAGTACAGTGACCCTGACTCTAGTAGTTTCTTAGGGATGAATTCAGAACCAGAGGGGTGTTTACACATGACTGTTTTGTTTGTGAAAGTATTTAAATACTAGCTTAAAATGAAGTCAGGTATAGAGGAAGGAAGCTAGGGTTGTACATCAATATTAAGAGATACAAAGAAGATAAAGAGAGGGACAAGTTGCTCAGGATTAAGTTGGAGAATAATGGAAGAGCATTAGGAGTTAGAATTTAGATAAGTATGAGATAAAAGCCAGGCTACAGGCTCATGAGTCATGTTTGAAGGTGTGAAGCGCTCATACAGTTTTGACAGCCCTTAACGTTTTTCAAATGTGACAATGTCACAAATTTTTTGCGGTTTTAGCTATTGCTTAAATTCAAAGCAAAAAATATTTGACAAGGTCCTTTTAAGAGAGAGAGAGAGAGAGAGAGAGAGAGTGTATGTATCTATACATATGTCATGGGAGGGAGGTATTTAAATGTACTCATTCTAGGTATCAGATATGCTAAGTAGACCACTGAAAATATGCATTTATTTCTATTGCACTTTTTCTTAACAAGAATGTAAGCTCATGATGAGTTTCAAGATCCATTGTCAATTGTACAAAACTTATGTATGTTGCTGATATCTTCTGTTGTGTATTTTGGTTTTAAAACAAGTTCTGTGTTAAAGTGAAGTGAAAAGAGACTTTTAAAAAATTTATAGTAGTGACATTTTGAGAGAAAAGGTAAGTAGTTTTATGTTTTTAGCTTGCCCAAATAATTGTCTTAATTTTTATTTTTTTAAGGGTGGCCTCGGTTGCAAGATATCAAATGTTTCTCAATTATTTAGCTCATTAAATTGGAATGCAATTTTTACTTGATGGAGAATGCTTTTGTCTTCCTGTATCCCCTGCTTTCCTTCTTTTCCCCTCTGGCAAAGGTGTGTAAACACCTCCTGAAATACCTCTTCACCCTGACTCTTCCCCCTTCATTCCTCTCTGATTTCTTGGAGTTTCTGTGTTTCATTTTCTGCCTTCTTCACTAGACAGGAGCTCTAGAAAAGCCGGGCTGTGGCCTTGGCCCTTAGCATAGAGACTTTCAGGTAGCAGATGCTTATCTTTTGTAATTATTATTGGTAATTAATATTTATTATTATGAATTTGGATACAGCCAATTATTATTTGGATACAGGTAAATTGAATTTAATGATTGTTTCTTCCCAATTTTCAAAATTAAAATGACAATGTGCCTAAAACAATTAATTCATACTTATTTATTACATTTAAATGATAACTGATGAAAAAGGTAGGGATAGTTAGTTAATGGTGAGAAAAGGAAGCTTGTTCTTTAAATTATTTAAGTATGTTTATTTATTTTCTTTTCCTAGGGCATAATGTTCATACTTGTTGGAGGAGGCATTTTTTTCAGGGAACGAAAAACTCACGGTGTGCGTGGTAATGTCTGGTGATTTGCCCTGATGTTGGTGTAGCGGTCAGAGCAGAGGTAGCTAAATGTATGCAGTGGTGGCCCACAAAATCAAAAACCCATTTATGTATACAGTGTATTAATGTTTTATTGATAAGTTTAACCTATTAATAATAAAATATGAATGTATAGTAATGTGATAAAAAGCACTACAAGAACATTGTAATAGTCCCCTTTTATATAAAAGAGAAGAATTTTAGACCTAATGCTAGTAACTGATCAAATCTGAGTGAGCCAATGAATATTGGAATAAAGCAGTAGGAACCAATCTGGAAAACTGTGGGGTATATTGTCAGAACTCATCCGCAGGTTTACTTTTACTCCGGGTTTATGTCACAAATGGTGCTTCTTTATAGCTGTTTTGTCTTTTTTTATGAAAGGGAATGTACTTTTCTGGAACTAGCTGAACTCAAACATTGCTCAGAGTTTGCTCAAAGACATGGAGTAGGCTCTGATATTTAAGTCCTCACCTTCCTATTTTAAAAAAATATTGTTTTTTCTTTGGTGAGTCCAGTTTGCTTTTCAGATCAACCAGGAGTTTACATAATTGAGCTATATTGATAGAGTAAATGCTTGATAGATAACCACAAAAACTTAAAGTATGATTAATACTCATCAAAATCTGTGGATCTCTTAGATGAATGTTATTTCAAGGGTTGGTTTAAAATTTTTTGAGTCAAGTTATTCAGCCAGAGCAGTTCAGCAATGGGAAATGAATGTAGTTTATGTTTGTCTTAGGCTCATTCTACATATATGACTAGTGTGAGTCTAAGTAACTTTACTTCCTTAAACAGTTCAGAAAATCTTGGTCATTTTTAAAATATTGAATTTCTATATTCAATAAATTCTTGTCACATTAGGAAGAAATTGGTAAGAAATGAGACCAGATAGGTCAATAATTGACAAAACAGACAACCACTTAACATTATTAATGATTATGTATGTTTGCCCTAACATACATTGTCCTTTCAGATTTGTGTGTATGTGCATGTGTATAAATTTATATATATTTAGTTTTTTATTGTTGCTGTAACAAGTTCCACAAACTTAGTGTCTTAAGTCACACAATTTTTAAAATAATTGATACATTTATTTATTTTAAAGATGTGGGGTACAATTCAGGATTAAGTATACAAGTGGTCATTGTCCAGGTAAAGTTTGGGCCTCCCTTTGGTCCCCACTTTGCCTGATTTGGGATCAGGTACCCTTAGTAACGTTATGTCCCCTCCTCTGGCAGTTTCTGGCTACTGCCAATCCCTTTCTAACAGTATTATGGTAAATATTCAGGGTCTGCTTATGAATAAGAACATGTGGTACTCAGTTCTTTGTTTCTGTGACAAATCACTGAGTATTATAGACTCTAAATCTATCCAAGTTGCTGCAAAGTCCATAATTTTGTTCTTCTTTATGACTGCATAATAGTCCATCATGTACATGTATCACTTTTTTGTTAATCCAGTCCAGTTTCGATAGGTATCCCGGTTGGTTCCATGTTTTTGTGATTGTAAATAATGCTGCAATTAACATACGTGTGCAGGTATCTTTTTGGTAGGTGATTTAAGTTCCTCTGGGTATATTCCCAGAAGGGTGATGCTGGGTCATATGGAAGGTCAATTTCTAGTTCTTTTAGGAATCGCTACAGCCCTGTAGGTCCAAAGTCTGGTATGGATCTTACTGGATTAAAAATCAAAGTGTTGGAGAGATGCATTATTTTCTGGAGTTTCTAGGGAAAAATCCATGTTCTTGCCTTTTCTTGCTGGGTCATGGCTCTCTACCTCCACCTTCCAAGCCAGAAAGTGCACATTTAATGACCTCGTGTCTGGCCTCACATCTTCTCTGACCATTCCTGGGAAAAGTTCTCTGCTTGTTAGGACTCATGTGATTGAATGGGATCTAAAATAAACGCCCCATCTCAAGACCCTTAAACTTAATTAGATCTTCAGAGTTCTTTTTGCCCTATATGTTAACATATTCACAGGTTCCAGGAATTAGGATGTGGAGATCTCTGGGGGGCTCACCATACATACCAATACCAGTTTTCCCTAGTATCTTTTGTGTAATCTTTATCAGTTCTTGCATTTTAAATCCATTATAGTCAGCATTCCTCATTCACTAAAAGCTCTATTCAGGCAAATCACATGTCTGTTTTGTTTACTGTTTTATCCCAAGCCCCAGAAACAATGCTTGGCATTTTGAAAAAGCTGAATTGAATTTTTGAATGAGAGAATGAATGAAATGATTGCATATCATCTATGCCATGTAATGGAGAAGCAGCCTCTGTGACATTAATTTAAATGAATTTCAAGCATCTACTAAATTTGTATAATGGACTGCCTGTTATAGAAGGCCATATTTTGCAAAGTATAAGTCTCTTCTAAAAATCAATATGGATATTCAGAAACAATTTTTTTCAATACATTCTCAGCTTTTTGATTCACATCAGGTCATATTTAAAATAAAATATATATTCATTAAAAATATACTTCGGAAAACATTCAAGATCAGAGAAAGTCTGGTTTTTGTCTTTTAAAACTTGGAAACATACATATATTTCTAAGATATTTCTGCTGTTTTTTTATACCTCCATAATTAGTTATGTCTAGTCCAGCTTCTCTGATGTACCACATAATTATGGAATTTTTCAGTGGATGAGGCAGAACAAGGAGGCTGCCCGAAGAAGGAAGGGTCATAGAGAAATCAGTTATTTTTACAGAGTGTTTTTCTATAACTGGTGAAAATAGATTTGCAATGGGCAACCATCTTCTTGAGTTCTATGATCTCAGCAGACATGGATATTTTTCTGGGTGTGGGTTGAAATTATATTGGTGATGTTAAGTGTTGGGTGTGTTGCTAGTCAGGATCTTCAGGCGATGTAACATTATTGGTGAATTTAAGACTCAGATGATACTTTACTATAGGGGATATTGGTGTTCCCTGTAGAGAGTTGAGTGACAGACAATGCTGCTATAGTAAGATGTCAGGCCTGAGTTTCATTCAAGGACTAGTTTGCATTTCTGGACCTCTCATCCGCCTACTTTTCTTCTCTTGGTGTCTTATGTGGAAGCTCATTATAGGTTCTCATTACATATTTGTTGAGTGAATAAAGAATCAAATTGACTGGTTTTGTTATTCAGAAACTTATTTTATTTGTGTGTCTTGAGTTTAGTGCATTCCTTATCTTGAGAAATTCTGAAGATTCAGTAAAACCTACAAATAAATGTCACATAAGTTTCCTTTTATATAGGGCATTCACCCTTCTCCTGAAAATCTATCCTGGAAATAATTTCAGCAGATTAGAATTAAACACCTATTTTCTCCTTCCCTCCTCCTTCCCTCCCTCCCTCCCTCCCTCTCTTCCTCCTCATCCTCTTCCTCCTCCTCTTCTTCTTCTTTTCGTGGACAGCTCAGGTACTATATGCTTTAAACTTTTTTGTTCTTAAATTTGCTCATTA